CAACCTCCCTACCTGAGAGGTTTTTAACTGGAAATGCCAGGGGTTGAATCTGGGCCCACCTGAATGAAAAGCAAGTGTTTTGCTACTGAGCTTGGAGACAGTACACATTGCAGATCATTTTCAAATGTAAATAGCTCAGTTTGTTACAGCCTGGTCTCATAAGACCAAGGTTGCAGGTTCCATCCCCATATGGAACAGCTCCATATTGCTGCATTGCAAGGGGTTAGGTTAGATGATCCTCAAGGTCCCTTCCAACTCTGATTCCTTGAACTAAAAACCTGATTGCCATAGAGGGAGCACCTTCATACCTTGCCTTTAAAGATCTAATGGCAAGATCTTTTTCTGAGTTTATGCCGGGCGGTGGTGGTGGGGCGTAGTATTTTGCAGTCTTTTGGAGCAGGGCCTTCTCAGTTGTGGCATCCATGTCATGGCACCCTCTCCCTAAGTAGGCCAACCAGTTTAGCATTGCTTGGGGGTAACAGACAGGTGGAAACATGTTTATTTAAACAGGCCTTTGGAGATGGGTTACTACGAAAGAGATGCTGCCGGAGGCTTTCCATTGTTTTAGCTATTTGCGGGGGGGGGGGGGCGGACAACTTGCATGCAAAACATGGATCCACTTGATTACATCACATTTAAATGTTCGAATGCACAAACTGGTTGCAGTAAGAGAAATAAACAAGCCTGTTGTTTACTTTGCAAACCCTGAAAAGTCAAGCAGTTCCTAATGCTACGTTTTGCATCAGTGGAGGCTACTGTCACAGAGCAAGCCAGCACACTGTTCAAAGTTGGCGCTAACTCTTCATTAGCAAAAACATGATCTTCCCAGACTTGGCTGAGTTTCAGGCCTAATGAGCACCGCTGCCCATCCCTGGTAGGTCTTACTCCCTGAATCAGTTGCCGAGACTGAAAATCCCCAACTCCCCACAGCCATCTAAGGCCCCTCCTCTTCAGTCTTTTTTCAGGCAATCAGAGACTGCACCTGCATGCAGCCTGCCACTGCTACACCCATTTCAGCCCTCTTCTGATTCTGGGAGACATGGGGGAGGGGAGCTTGTCTCAGCAGGAGGGGGAGACCCCCATGACACTTACCCAGCCTGATTCATCTCTGCCTCTTGACCTCCCTCTTCCCACTTGCTTCAGTTTCTGATTCTGATTCTGGACTTCTCTCTACCACAGACTCTCCCAGCTCACTAAGCCCTGTTACCTCTTCAGCTTCCAACGTTTCCTCCTCCCAGTCTGCTCCCTCTTCTCCTTCTGACCACTTATCGTCATCCCACCACCACTTCCCAGCCTCTGAACCTTCGTCCCTTGATGGTCCCCAGCTGGTGCCTCCCACCGTTCCTCTGTGCCCAGCCAGTCCATGACAGCTACTGACTTGCTCCCCCATAAGTTGAGACACAAGCAAAGGGATCTTAATACTCTTGCTAACATTTCTCAGTTGTTTCTCCCAAGTAACAGGCAGAGGTTGGAGTGCATAATAATGGTTGCAGTAGTTGCAGTTGTAGGGCTATGTTAGGGACCCTACAAGACCCCCCCACACACACACAAACCAGTGGATTCCCGTTTGCCCATCTCTTCATCATTCTATGAATATGCAGGTTTGTTGAACAGGAGAAAGATAAATCAGTGCCACGAACTTGCCCATTTCTTGATAAAAATCACTATAAGCACAGTTGGATTTATTGTTCTGCAAAGTACACAGAGTCATATAACCATTGGCAACTGTTTACCTGGAATTAATAATTAGCAGCCTTCATAGCGGACTCTTAGCAAAGAGCCAGGCATTTGGCACAATAGAAACTCGGCTGCATAGAGCCGAGTTCAAATTGCATTACACAAGGACAATGGCAGCAAATGGCAGTCATTTGAGTTTCTGCCACAGCAAACAATGGGATGCTGGACACTTTCATTTGTTTATTGCATTATTTATTTGGACAGGTGCAAGCTGGCCATGCAAAATTGAATCTTGCTCCTAGATATTCCTTTGCAAAGCTTTGTTGGACCAGTGCATAGGGATAAGCGAAAGCATGTATATCCTAGCAGACTCTAAATCTATTTATGTCCTCATTATTGTAGATTAAACAGTCCACAAAAGTGGAAAGCTCTGTCTCTGTAGTGTGCTACTAAATGAAATTGTTTGGGCCAGGTACAGTTATGAGTTTTCTGGAAAACTTTCGAATTGGGAAATTTTCTGCAAATTTTTGCATTACCTTATGCAAATTTGAATAGGATCATTTAAATTGGAAAGCTTCCAGCTTTCTTCGGAAAATCTTCTGAAGGCCTAGCTTAGTGATCTAATCTAGCACGTATATTTTTCTTGTATTTGGTAAAGAAAGATAAGCACTTTGAAATTGTGCCAGGCTTATGTAACACAGCAAGCCTGCAATTTAACACAGGGATTATGTTCCAGGGATCGCACCTAAAGCCAAAATCACATATAGTGAAAACACATTGGGTTCAGTGGCAGATGGGATTGCCAAAGTCTGTATTTGCACCCAAAAGTACTTGTGTTCTCTTTGCTGCTGCATGGAATAATGCATGAACCAGACCTTTGGCTTTAGTAAGTAAAGCATTTTTAACTTACTTAAGAGTGTGTGGTCTGTTCATTGGCAGAGGGTTGGGGGGGGGCAAGAGCTTTAAAGCAGACTAAACAGGATTTGCAAAAGAGTTGTAACAATTTATATTTCATGCTATACTGTTGCTTAATTCTGAGAGTGTTTTTAAACCTGCTGGGTGCTCTCTCCCGCTGGAGAGTGCAAATCCCCGCATTTTGAAAGAAAATACACCCCCCTGCAATTTTTGTTGTTGTTTAGTCGTTTAGTCGTGTTCGACTCTTCGCGACCCCATGGACCAGAGCACGCCATGCACCTCTGTCCTCCACTACCTCCCGCAGTTTGGTCAAACTCATGCTGGTAACCTCGAAAACACTATCCAACCATCTCGTCCTCTGTCGCCCCCTTCTCCTTGTGCCCTCCATCTTTCCCAGCATCAGTGTCTTCTCCAGGGAGTCTTCTCTTCTCATGAGGTGGCCAAAGTACTGGAGCCTCAGCTTCACGATCTGTCCTTCCAGTGAGCACTCAGGGCTGATTTCCTTAAGAATGGATAGGTTTGATCTTCTTGCAGTCCATGGGACTCTCAAGAGTCTCCTCCAGCACCACAATTCAAAAGCATCAATTCTTCGGCGATCAGCCTTCTTGATGGTCCAGCTCTCACTTCCATACATCACTACTGGGAAAACCATGGCTTTAACTATACGGATCTTTGTTGGCAAGGTGATGTCTCTACTACCTGAAGCCTATTTGGAAGGTTTGGGGGCTTTTGTGAACTACGTGGGATGGGGTGAATCTCTGCAGGGAGTGATTAGGCTTGAACCCCACATTGTTCAGGAGGGAACCCCTGTCTGCCAGAGAGGCCTTTCAGGGGTCACAAGTGATATCTGGGCAAAGGGGGGTGGGGGGAAGCTTTCCCTCTGTGAACACCCTTAACTTATCTTAGGATCCAAGCCTGCATATTTAACTAAATGCATTCCCCGCCCCCCATGACATCTCCTTATAGATTTGGTCAGTTTTAACTGCTTTCAGAGCTGCTTTCAGAGCAGTTTGAGGAGAGTTTCTCCTAGAATGAGCAACCACTTTGTAGTTAGCCCTGTGGAAATGTCATATAAACCAGCCATTGGACAAACAGTCAGTGTCAACAGCAGCAAAAAGCCTGGTTAAACTTCTAGAAGTTCAGAAGCTTATTATCCAAGGCAATGTTGCAGTCGCCTAATCCCCACCAACTGTTCTGTGTTCAGTTGCCCTGACAAATTCCGTATATAAGCCTTCAGGCCTGCCTTTGTTGTGCTGCATCTTCACCCACCCAGCAACTCAGCTTCATCCTTTTTCTTCTTCTCTCACCTGGCTTAAGGTTTTCAACATGCTGCCAAATGAGCCTTGTTCACACATTGCAACAATTTATTTATGTGAAGTATTTCTTAGCTGCTGTTCATCAAAAGATGAACCAGGGCCTTGTGCAAAAGTGTGAATGAAATTCTGCCTATGTACAGATATGATTTTAAACCAACAAATAAACATAACACAATGAAACAAGGAGCCTTTTGCCACCCGAGGCCCTTCTCCCCCTGCTTCCTCTGAGATAGTTGAGCATGGTGGCAACGCAAGAATGGGCCTTTTTGGTGGTGGCTCCCCAGTTGTACAATGCTCTCTCTCGGAAAGCAAGCCTGGTGCTAAATGCTAAAATATTGCTGTACATTCAGGCCTTTGATCATTAATCTGAAGGGCAGTGAGTGAGCGGGTTTCGGCCTGTTTCGGTGCTCATTTTCCTAAAAGGATTTGCCCTTTTATAATTAATCTTGGATGAGCATGCTTAGCCGTTGTGCTTTATATGGGTTTTTTAAGCTTTATGTTGTAAGTTGCTTTGGAAAACTCCTTGGTGTGAAATGGCAAATAAATGAATAAAAACTCAAAGGCTGAAAAGAGGTTGTAGTGTAATTCCAGAAAATACAGGGGTAACATGTGACTTATTTCCTTCATTCTCACAAGGACTAGATGGTGAGAAATGAAGCCTAGAGTAGGTACATGGCGTGTTTTATGTGCAACCATGATAAGGTGCAGGAACCTTGCCCTCTCTTGCCATTGGTCATCCAGCTGGCAATTTTTAAAGGAGACCAAGTAGGTCAACAGAAGCTAGGATGGTGGTTCTAGACCCCGTGAAGTCCAGTATCTCTCCCCCGGTGGCATCAGTTCCTCACCCCCCAGCCCCCAGCCCCAGCATTGCTTTCCCTTTACTGCCATAGTTCTTGGCAAAATATTCTAAACTGATCAAATGTATTTATTGTAACACTATTTCTATGCCACCTCTGTGCCAAATACAAACAGCTTCCAACATAAGCTACAATAGCATTTAAACCATACACATGTATGGAACAATTGGTTGGTTGGTTGATTGAAGACTAACATACTGTACTAATTGTTAGGGATGGCTTTTTTGTTTTGCAGAATGGCATTTCAAAGAAATGGGATTTCATGAGGACACATGACAGGTAAATTTTGCAGCATTTTTTTCTTTTACATATTCCTTCAACCAATCAGTTTTCTCTCTCATCTTGTCTGTCTGTCTGTCTATCTATCTGTCTATCTATCTATCTATCTATCCACTTAACAGTCATATAGCACTTCTGATTGTTCGCATTCATCATCCTTTGTATACCAAACCCTCTAAGGTGAGCCGGTTGTCCTATAAGGCCTGGCATTGAAACTAAGAGTTAGAGAGAGAGTATTGCTTAAGGACATTTGGTGAATTCACAACAGAGGCAAAATTCAGACCAGAGATTTCCTGAATTATAGTTCAGTCTCATAACCAGTTTGATCTAATCCATGCATCCATTTGGTTGTGTACAAACAGCAAATCTCTGTGAAAGGTCTGGCACTTATACCATCCTCTCAAAGGGGAACAGTGCACCAGGAAGGAGGTTTCAGCTAGACTAGAAGAGATTTATTTGTTTGGGTTTGGGCTGATATGTTGGTTTTAGCCATACAGGGAAATTCAAAACATGGCTATGCATTCAAGCATACCATCCACCCCCCCCCCCCCGATCTTCATTCTGACGCAGTACATTTTCTATATGAACCATTCCTCATTTCTCTCCTAATAGTTTGAATTGGCTTTCTGGGCCAAATCAGATGTGATATTAATAGACTAATAGATGGGGGCTGCATCACACGGAGAGGGTAAGTTTAACCCTTCCCGGCTGCATTCCTATTGAAACCCCCCACGCTGCTGTTAGCCATATACTGTATTGAAAAAAAGCTTTCCCCCGCCTCCCACGCATCTATTATTAAATTTCAAAAGCCCTGACGTGTTTCCAAGTGATGCATTTAGTGTCACGTCTAGTTTGACCCTTGGTTTAGACTGTTTGTATGCCCACAGAGGAAGGGAGTTCCAAAGCCAGGGAACACACTTCAAAAACATCACTGTTCGGCTTGGAGAAGAGAGGCCAGTCTCCAGAGGTTTCCTTTGGGGGATTAGAGAGATCAGTGAATTGCTGGAAATGCAGTACTTCGCTACGCCTTGCTGTTCTCGAACATAATAACTTCATAAATTGTTTCTCCAGCATATAACACTTCATAAGTACTGCAGCTATGATACCTAGCAGCCTTTTAAAGGAGGGGGGGATTACAGAGAAAAGCTCACTAAATATGTTTTCTAGAAGGGCTGGGTGGGGTTTTGTTTTTTTTGCAATTATAGTTTTTAAAGGACTTTTTCACAGGACGTTTTTAAAATAGCTGCTTGCTGTTTTACACAATTGCATAAGGTGCACGTGTCACACCAGTCATCTCTGGTCACAAAACATTTGTTGCCTTCGCATGTGCAGCAGCTGTCATCCGGCAACTTTTTTTGTGACTACAGAGCACAGCATTCAACCATGAGCATGCCAAGCCATCTTGCTCTGCACTGCAGCCTTTATACCTTTGTAGGAATACAAAGGGCTTCTTCACCCCAGGCCCCTAAGTTTGTCATCCGGAACTGCTAATGCAGAGATCAGTTTTATTTTGGGGTAGAATTCACTGCGGATGCCTCCTGCGCTGCAAGCCTCTTGCGTTCTTTTTTATTTATTTCTTGGCTTGACCAGTTTCGTAATCTGCCCTTTCTCAAACGTGCAGCACGCTTGGGGGTCACCCGATTTGCTTATCTTTGCAACATACCCAGATCCTTCAACCATTCCTCATAAGACTTGGTTTCCAGACGTTTGATCATCTTGGTTGCCCTCCTCTGCACACCTTCCAGCTTGTCAACATCCATCTTAAATTGTGGTGCCTGGAACTGGTCACAGTATTCCTGGTGCAGTCTAACCAAAGCAGAATAGAGTAGGACTATCACTTCCCTGATCTGATACTGCTGTTGAGGCAACCTAGAATAGCACTAGACAGTGCTAGACAGCATCTTAAAAAGCAGAGACATCACCTTGCCAACAAAGGTCCGTATACTTAAAGCTATGGTTTTCCGAGTTCTGATGTATGGAAGTGAGAGCTGGACTATAAAGAAGGCTGATCGCCGAAGAACTGATGCTTTTGAATTATGGTGCTGGAGGAGACTCTTGAGAGTCCCATGGACTGCAAGAAGATCAAACCTATCCATTCTTAAGGAAATCAGCCCTGAGTGCTCCCTGGAAGGACAGATTCTGAAGCTGAGGCTCCAATACTTTGGCCACCTTATGAGCAGAGAAGACTCCCTGGAAAAGACCCTGATGCTGGGAAAGATTGAGGGTGCAAGGAGACAGGGACAACAGAGGACAAGATGGTTAGACAGTGTTCTGGGAGCTACCAGCATGAGTTTGACCAAACTGCGGGAGGCAGTGGAAGACAGGAGTGCCTGGCGTGCTCTGGTCCATGGGGTCACGAAGAGTCGGACACAACTAAACGACTAAACAACAAGAACAAGAATAGCACTAGCTTCTTTTCTTTTTGCTGCCTCATCACACTGTTGACTCATGTTAAGCTTATGGTCCACCAAGACCCCTAGAACCTTTTCACATGTTGAAAGCAGCCAATTCCAGGCATTGGAGGAAGGATTATGGGTGACGGGCGAACTGTTCTGGCCTCTAATACGGATGCTCCATGCACTGAACAAGCAACATAATGCTCACATATTAACTCAACTCCCTTGCATTACAAAGCTATACATGCCACCGGCATTGAAAACTCATGTTCATTTCATTGGCGCCTATGCAAAGGACGTTGCTCCTCTCAGTCAAATTGGCTGTGGCTAATGATGTTGAGTTTTGAATTACTGAAAGCATTGTACTACTTTTTTTACAGATTCGTTTTTCCACGTTGTTTACTCCTCTTTTGCTTTCCTTTTTAAAATCACAACTGGAGATCAGTTGCCTTTGCGGTCTCAATTGTGACGCAGTGCGTTAAGCTGTGGGACCATGCTAAAAGAAAGTTTCCTTTTTTAGTAGTGATGCATTAAGATCACAAAATAAGATATTTTGAATGCGCTCATAATATTCTAAATTTAAGTAATCACTAAAGATAACAAGATTCCAAACTACTTGGCCTTCAATCCCAGGTCCATGCATGTGGTAGAAACTACTGAGCATTTTTTTAAAGAACCAGGCTCATTAAATTAGCCAATGTGAGCATATACTGGATCGGTCTTTCCCAAGCTGGTGCCCTACAAATCTTTTGGATGAAAACTGCCGCCAGTACCAACCAGCACTTCTAAGGTAACATTCATAAGGTACCGTATTTTTTGCTCTATAGGATGCACCCGACCATAGGACGCACATTGTCTTATGGAGCAAATGCAGGCTCCTTGGCTTCAGCAATAGCAAGCCGAAGCCTCCGGAGCACAGCGGGAGCTCCCGCTGTGCTCCGGAGGCTTCAGTTGGCTATCTTTGAAGCCTGGTGAGCGAGAGGGGTTGGTGCGCACCAACCCCTCTCGCTCTCCAGGCTTCAAAGATAGCAATGCAAAGCCAAGGAGCGCAGTGGGAGTGCTCCCACTGCGCTTCGGAGGCTTCGCGTTGCTATCGCTGAAGCCAAGGAGCCTGCATTCGCTCCATAAGACGCACACACATTTCCTCTTAATTTTTGGAGGGGAAAATGTGCATCTTATAGAGTGAAAAATACGGTAGTTTTAAAGCACATGCCCACCTCTGAAGAATTCATATTGTAAACTGCCCTGTAATAAATAATAGTGTTGTTAACTGCAGTTTGTTAATGGTGCTGGGAGTGGTAGCTCTCTGACAGATGCTGTGTGTGCACCGTAAATTTAAAGCACATGCTTATGCCCAAAGAATTCTGGGAATTGTAGGTTATCCTTTACAGAGCTACTCTTCCCCAGCACCCTTTAAATGTATGCAAATATGTCTCAAATGCATGTTATATATGCAGCTGAAAAGAAAGAAGTCATAAGATCCTTTTACAGGTTTGGGAGGTCTGAGTCGCACTTTTTTCACGTCAGCCCTCAGGCATAGCACCCTTAACCTTTGTGGGCTTAATGATCATGTACAGAAGAGTGCCCGCAAAAACAAGAGGCAAGCCTCAGACTGAGGCAAGGTAAAGGGAGTTTTTGCAGAGTCAAAACGAGAGAGAAAAAACTGTAACATGTTTCCATAAAAACTTCACGCTTATAGAATTCTAGGAACCTTCCCACACCTTTCAGGAAACCTGTAAATCAGAGCTTCCCAAACTTTTTTCATGTTGGTGACACACTTTTTAGAAGAGCAGTTCAGTTTTACTAGCAAACTGGAGGTTAACCTCACCCGTTTCCAGCCCTGGGAGGAGCACGGGGAGCATTCGCATGACATACCTGCACACTGTAGCTGACACGTGTCACAACACACAGTTTGGAAAGCTCAGCTGTAGACCAACATATTTTATGTATCATGATTCTTGTTTTTTTGTTTGGTTTTTTAATTGCGACTTTTTGGGTGCTGCCACAAAATACCCATTTTTTTAACTTTTGGAGTACTAAATTTAAACAACAGCTGCACACAAAGGAAACCTTTTTGTTCTGTGTTTGTTACTGACGCTTCTCCTAGATCTCCTGCTGTCATACTGTAAGGCCAAAAAGGTTCTGGGTGGCCTCCAAACCCCACCCAACCCTCCCACTATTTGTCAAACCGTGTGTTATACAATTCACACAAGACCCTGCAAAATAGCCAGTGCATGTGATAACCCACCTGGGAACTCAATTCATGTTGAAAGCATTGAATACACTGGGCCTGCAATGTACACTCAGTTTACATATATGTGATCACTACCTTACATGGATGGAGGAATGAATAAATAACAAAAGGAGAGCAGGGGAAGCCTACCATTCCCTGTTCTCCATTGATTTATTCCCCCCACCTGTGCACCCAGCAGGTTTTCCTTGTTTACTGGGCTCTGGGGAGGTCACTGATAAGCTGCCAGAGCCCTCATGATGCCCTTCCCAGAGCCCTGTAACTGAACAAATCAGGCTTTTCTATCGGACATAGTGGGAGGTACCAGCCGAAGTACCTCTCCATCATCATGCAATGGGATTTGGCAGCCCAGTAATTACACGAGCCAAAATGATAAAAAGCTCGAGTTGATCTTTGAGTAACGCTAAATATTTTCAACATATTCTGAATGGGGGGGGGAGTTCAAAGGAGACCAAGCAAACATGCTGAATGAAAACCAAACAAGGGGAATTGTTACAAGAGGGAGGCTTGTTCATACTTGGGCCCTGAAGGCTTACAGGGAGACAAGAGTGCTCTTTATAAACATGTAAAGAGATCTTTAAAAACAGACAGGTATCAATTATCTTCCTTGGCCACCGCGAACAGAACAAGTAGACATCTGAAGCTGAAGACAGAACATTTCAGGTTAAACATTAAGGAAAAGCTTTTTGAACAAGCTGCGAAGGGATGTTGTGCAATCAACAGGGTTTGGAAGCTGGTCGAGTCTGGACTTGACACCTCTTTATCAAGGATGATGCAGGGAATAATGAATTTCATCCTGCCTTTGTCGAGAGGAATGAGCCAAAGAACCAAATATCTTTCAACTGAGATAACTATCTGATTTGTATGTATCACACGTTCATAATTATCCTTTGGACGGGACCTTAATTGGAACATAGGGAGCTGCCTTAAAATGAATCACATGCGGCTCTTGGGTCTTCTCAGCCCTTGGGCTTCCCCCAAGCCATGCCTCTCCCCAAGCCACACCCCTTTCCCCTAGGCCACACCCCAGCCCTGCCCCGCCCCACCCCACACACTTCTCAAGAGCTTTTGTCTGTCTGGAATGCGCCCCTGAAGCATGATGGTGCCTCCTGCTCACCTGGAAGAATTGAGGTGTGCATTTATGGAACCATCTGCTTTTTGTGTGTGGTTGAGACAATGCCTCTTTGACAAAGGTGAGATTCTCATCCATTGCACCACAGGTTGGATGGAGGCTATCAAGTAACACAGCCTGTTGGGTTGGCCTTCCTATAGCGTATAAATTTATTTTCAATTAGAGTCCAGTCCTAAAGGCCAGGTCCCTTGGATTATTAGACTACTAACAAATTCAGGGGAATGGACTTTAAAGGCCAGCCATTGCCAGCGTGGCAAGTAAATCTGCAGAGCCATGCTGTTGCCGTAGATTTGGTTGGCATCAAAGCCCTGGCAATGACCACTCTTGGCAGATGTGCATGTGCAAAATTGTATCGTGGCACAAAAATATGGATGGGTGGAAGACTGAAAGATAGGGCACTGCTTCCAGTTTTCCGAAAGCTGAGAAATACCGTATTTTTCGCTCTATAAGACACACTTTTTCCCTCCTAAAAAGTAAGGGGAAATGTGTGTGCGTCTTATGTGTGTGCTGTGTGCGTCTTATGTGTGTGCTCTTCAGGGCAGGGGGAGCCTTCATCCCGCTGCCCTGAAGAGGCTTTGCGCGGCTATCCCAGAAGCCAGAACAGTAAGAGGATCCCTCTTGCTGTTCTGGCTTCTGGGATTCAGAATATTTTTTTTCTTGTTTTCCTTCTCCAAAAACTAGGTGCGTCTTATAGTCTGGCGCGTCTCACAGAGCAAAAAACACGGTACTCTTTTTTTCTGAATTAAAATGGGAAGCTCACTTCCCCTTACTCAAAATTCAAGTTGATGGATCAGGTAGTAGGTGATGGGAAGACCATGTCTGAGGCACTGAAGAGCCACTTCCAGTCAGAGTGGACAACAGAATAGACAAATGAACAAATAAGGCAACTACCATGTTCCTACTTTTTCATGGCACACTAGCGTGCCTCAGTGCACAGTTAGGAACTACTCTTAGAGAGTGTTTAGGGTGTTTCATCAACAGACCACATGAAAATCATTTCTGCTAAGGGTGTGCAGTGGTTCTTTGTTAGCCTGCATAATGAGGCAAACCAGGGTGAATTGAGTAATGATATCGTGTTCCTTGGATTGCACCATTAACAAGATCCCATGAGTGGGATCAGGGATCCTCTAAACTTCCAAGTCACTTTGTGGCCTTGCTTTATCCAGAAAGTTAGATGCACAAACTTTTCTTCCATCCCTTTTCTGAGAAGTTAAGCCAAACTCATTGGGGAAACACTAGCATTCAAAAGGAGTTACAGATAGGTAGCCGTGTTGGTCTGCCATAGTCAAAACAAAAAAAATTCCTTCCAGTAGCACCTTAAAGACCAACTAAGTTAGTTCTTGGTATGAGCTTTCGTATGCATGCACACTTCTTCAGATACACACTTTCTCTTCAAAAGGAGAAAGGAGTAAAGAGGAAAAGAAGGGATCTTTTGCTTTGATGGACTGGTCTAGTTTTTATCCCCAGTGAATTATCGTCACCCAAATAACAAATCTAATTGGAACACCGCAGAGCAGATCCAAAACAGACACAAGGTGAATCTTGCGTTCGCGGCACACCCTTAGTTTCTAAAAAGCTGTCTCCAAATGCACTGCACAGATTGCAACCAGCAGGCAGGGGACCGGGTCTGCCATCATGGCAACCAGTGCAAGTTGTTCTGTGTGCCATCGCAGTTTTGGATTCCTTCAGGGTTAGGGTGTTAACGTAATGCATTGTGGGGGTGGGGGTGGCAAGACAGTTTTTACAAATAATCAAAGGTCATTGCAACACGTGTCGCAAGCGACACCCCAAAAAAAAGCTGAGTGAAGCTATAAGCACAATAGACTTCAAATTTTATTTAAATATTCCCTGTGCCTCCGCCTTAAAAAGATTTGGAACAGTGAGGTCTCCTTGTCTTGCGGATCCTGGGATGTGGGCCAAAGTATCTCACACAGAGAGACAGTATATTGTACTTTAAAATGCTGTGACTGATGCGGTGTATTGTATACAAAATGTTGGCCCGACAGCCCACTTCCCTTTTTTGTTGTTGCTTAATTTCTTACACTCTATATTTTATCCATTATTACACATGAACCCATGTTGCTGAGCGTCTGTTTGTTTTAAAAAATGTCCTTCGGCACCTCATTCTTTTATACGCTGATTAAATAAAACGCCGTAGGCAGCTCAAGCCAATGTAATAATCTGTAGCTGTGGTTTATGTTTCAAAGATAGATGCTTCTGGGATTGTTAATACGCCTTAAAAATTATTGCTACTCCTCATTCTCTTGCAAGGCTGATTGTTAAAAGAGCAGGGCTTGTTGCTTGTGGCGTCACAAGGAATATCTTGCTAAAGTAATCCCCCCCCCCATTCACGCTGTTGTTGTTTTAACCCTGCAGGTGCATAAATATATACATATAAAAAAACAATTTCCTTTTGCTCTTCTTAGTTCATCTTTCATGCATGTTTTGTACAATAAAGGGGTTCTGTGGTGTTTCAACACAGATACATGGACACACACGCAATGTGAATGTTTAACTAGAAGAGTTTTGGAATCATTTAGGCTTCAGTTAACATTAATGAGGGGCAGGAAACCACTGTAATTAAGTTATTGCAGGGGTTGCATTAAAAATTTTGATTTGTTTTTGGCATCCGTCTGTCTCAGGAAACACTGGAAGAGTGTGCCTTCGGGGGTGAAGTCAAACAATTGGAGAGTTAAGAGTGCCTGCTTTGGGAGGAGAGACATGCTTTATTGCAGGTTATATTATAATTTTGATTATAGCATTGCTATTCCTACTTTATGTTGATGCGGAATTTCAGATAAGGAGGTGTTAACGCTTCAGTATTTTTTATCCATGTATCCAGAAGGTATTTAATGAAATGGAAAACTGCAGGAGGAAGGTATCAGGAGGTCATGGCCCAATCTTGAAGTGAAATGCTAACTATGCCCCCCTCCCCACTACTTTGCTGGATACAGTGATTTGATATATTGGTTTCTTGAGTAACTATGTTGTGCATAAACCATAGTTTCCTTTATTCAGATTAAAAAACAGGAAACCGTAGCTTGTTCTCTACAAACTGAATGGTTTAAACCAGAGTTTTCCAAACTCTGTGTCGTGACACGTTAGTGTGTCGGCTGTAGTGTGTAGATGTGTTGCACGAACGCTCCCGGCGCTCCTCCCAGGGCTGGAAAGGGATTAGTTTAACTTCCGGTTTGTTAGTAAAACTGAATTAAAGGTAAAGGTAAAGGTACCCCTGCCCGTACGGGCCAGTCTTGCCAGACTCTAGGGTTGTGCGCTCATCTCACTCTATAGGCCGGGAGCCAGCGCTGTCCGCAGACACTTCCGGGTCACGTGGCCAGCGTGACAAGTTGCATCTGGCGAGCCAGCGCAGCACACGGAACACCGTTTACCTTCCCGCTAGTAAGCGGTCCCTATTTATCTACTTGCACCCGTGCTTTCGAACTGCTAGGTTGGCAGGCGCTGGGACCGAGCAGCGGGAGCTCACCCCGCCACGGGGATTCGAACCACCGACCTTTCGATCGGCAAGCCCTAGGTGCTGAGGCTTTTACCCACAGCGCCACCCGCGTCCCAATAAAACTGAATTACTGTGTCACAAAATGATTCATGTCTGAAAAGTGTGTCACCAACATGAAAAGTTTGGAAAGCTCTGGTTTAAGCTTTCTCCCTTCAAGTGTGGAGAAAGAGGGGGATTTGTTGTTCTGTTTAAATTAGGCCTCTAGGACCCATATAAATTAAGATTGAGGTCCTTAAGACCCCAAATACCATCACTGTTATAAATTTACTCTTGCACAATAAACTACAAACCTCAATATAATCTCATAGCGTCAAACAGGAGTCATTGCCAAATATATCTGATACTGGATTGTGGTTTTAAAAAAGAAAGGAGCCCTTTGACCACAACGTCAGGTTAGTAGTGTTTTGCATCACCGCAGAAAAGTTAAAATGTACTTGCCAAATCTATGATTGTAATGCATTTTTTAAAAATGTACATTGCATGTTGAATTTCTTTTTTGGGGGGTGTTGCAAAAACCATTTCTTTAGGGATAGCCTTTTAGACCTCTCTAATTATCTTCCTTTTTGAGGGGGAGAGCATCCACTTGGCTATTAGTATGAAAGGCTGAGTGTTTTTGTCAAGAGCTTATGGCTTTGGGTCTCTGAGGGGCTGCATCTTAAATAGCTATTTGGAACGGTATTGGCCTTTGGTGGGGGGAGCGAGATGCAGCATGCTTTGAAGGAGCTCTCAATGACCCAACGAAAGATTGTGCAGGCCTGCCCACATTTAATCCAGGGCCTGCCTGCATTAATGGTTAAAGCTCTGGGAAAGGAAAGGGGTTGCACCAGAAAATAATCAAAAGGCTGTAGCAACTGGAGTTGAGTGGCTGTGTTTTCTCTTGCCTAAGCTGCTTGATCTGCCTGCCTGATTAAAGGAGGTGAATGTCACTCCATTTATCACATTGTATGTTTATGGTGTGTTGTTCTTAGTTGCCTTCTTCAAAAACTATGCATTGGTTGTAGTTGAGAAGTTAGTGAATATCTCTTTTGCTTTTTACCAGTTCCCTTTCCCCCTGGCTTTTCTCCATTTGAGTCGTCACTCAACCAACTTAGGTTAAGGGGTTAAGGGGTTAAGGGGTGATATGATAGCCATGTTCAAATATATAAAAGGATGTCATATAGAGGAGGGAGAAAGGTTGTTTTCTGCTGCTCCAGAGAAGCGGACACGGAGCAATGGATCCAAACTACAAGAAAGAAGATTCCACCTAAACATTAGGAAGAACTTCCTGACAGTTCGACAGTGGAATTTGCTGCCAAGGAGTGTGGTGGAGTCTCCTTCTTTGGAGGTCTTTAAGCAGAGGCTTGACAACCATATGTCAGGAGTGCTCTGATGGTGTTTCCTGCTTGGCAGGGGGTTGGACTCGATGGCCCTTGTGGTCTATTCCAACTCTATGATTCTATTCTATGAACTCAGTGCTTCTACAATCTCAGCACTTGAGAGTTTGTGTATAGGACTGTTTTAGCTCTACATCCAGTTTCATCCTAAGGGAGACGAAGGCTGTAGTCCTAACCCCACTAACCTGTGAATAAGCACCATTGAATTCAGTAATACTTCTGAGTAGACGTGGTTAGGACTGTGCTGCAACTGGTCGTCGTCCCCATCACCACAACCAGTAATTCAGTAGCTTATAAAGATACAACTGTCTCATTCAGATTTCTTTTTCTGGCAATGGTGTCTGTTAATGAGATCCTCTGATGTTTGGGTGGAACATTCTCAAGCAGAGGGTAAGAAAATGAAATTCGATGAAACTGTCATACATTGGGTTGCAGGTAACTCCTGCCCGCTGCTGTTGCCAAGAGTGCTTGCAGAATCAAGGTCCAAGTCAAAGGAGGAAGTGGGCAAAGTTTGCAGAGTTCTAAAGTGAGATGCACTGATTCTTCATATGTGATGGGAAAGAATGGAGATGAAGTCTGGGCAGCATCAAGTCAATCACAAGGGCCCATCTGAAACTTGCAGGAAGCAATGTCAAAGGCTTGCTGAGGTCACTAGCTAATAGCGCTATGGTCTAAACCTTCAAGCCTCTTGGGCTTGCCAGTTGGAAGGTTGGCGGTTCAAATCCCTGCAACGGGGTGAGCTCCCATTTCTCTGTCCCAGCTCCTGCCAGCCTAGCAGCTCGAAAGCATACCAGTGTGAGTAGATAAATAGGTATCACTGCATCGGGAAGGTAAACAGCATTTCCGTGTGCTCTGGCACACATCACAGTGTTCTGTATGCCAGAAGCAGTTTAGTCATGCTGGCCACATGATCCAGAAAAGCTGTCTGCAGACAAACGCTGGCGCCCTTGACCTGAAGCGAGATGAGCGCCTCACCCCTTAGTTGATTTCGACTGGACTTAAGCATCCAGGGGTCCTTTACCTTTTCCATTACTAGCTAAAAAGGAATCTGCCCACCCATGAGGCTGGAAAGGAGTAAGAATTGAAGAAGGGAACAAGTCGAGCATCAGTGATAGGACGCAGACACACAGAGCAAGACGAAGCAGGGAGAGCTGTCCTGCGCCTCTCAGCTGACCAACCCCCAAATGTGCCTCCAAGCTGGTCACCCGAATGCGCCTTCCAAAGCTTCCTAGAGCGAGGAACAGAGAGCAGCACTGTGCCCCAAAGCCGACCTGTAAACGCGCCTTGGAATAGATCGCTGCGCGAGGAACCAGGAGCGCTCACGGAAGCCGGCAGAGAGGCTGTGAACACCGCCCACTGTACCATGCTCGGAAGGAACAGCAGCCAACATGGGGAGCGGAAGAGATCCAACGGAGGAGATCCATGAACAAGGAAAAACAGGAGCTGTTTAAATAATATTTAGGGGATAAGGGTTCAACAAGAAAGACCTGGTTATGTTTAGAATGATACCACATAGGGCAATGTTCCCTGATACCAAGATGAGGGATTCTATGGAATGCAGATAGAGAGAATTGATAAGAATAATGATCTGTTGTGACCTTGACGGAAGTGTACAATAGATGAGCCTTCTTGTGTTTTGGCTCATCTTCCTCTTTTTTTCTTTTTTCTCCCCCCCCCCCCTTGGAGAGCCAGTGTCATCTCTCCATGCAGGCAAGCGAGTTATCGCAGTTGAAGCCTGGTGCTGGGAATCTCAGGCAAGGAGAGTGCTGAGCCAGTGTGGTGTAGTGGTTAAGAGCGGTGGACTCGTAATCTGGTGAACCGGGTTCGCGTCCCCGCTCCTCCACATGTAGCTGCTGGGTGATCTTGGGCTAGTCACACTTCTCTCTGAAGTCTCTCAGCCTCACTCACCTCACAGAGTGTTTGTTGTGGGGGAGGAAGGGAAAGAAGAATGTTAGCCGCTTTGAGACTCCTTCGGGTTGTGATAAAGCGGGATATCAAATATAAACTCTTCTTCTTCTTTCCTTTTCCTTTTTCCTTTCCCATAATGGCTTATGTTCTATGCCATGTACTTTGATATTTTTTGTAGTTTTTTAGCTTTTTTCATTTTTATTATTATTAAGGATTTTTCTTTTGTAATTTTGGTTGTTTATATTTATCTGTATTTGTTTAAAGCAAAATAAAAGTGTTTTTTTTAAAGAAGGAGCTGGTGAGAGAGGAAAGAGGAGATCTCCCGGCTGCGTCCTGTTTAAATTGAGCGGGCCACACCTCCAGACAACCCGGGTTGGTCAGCCTGGGAGTGACACAGCCGGAACCCCCCAATTGCACAGGGCTGACCACACCCCTGAAGGGGTCGTGAGTGCCCGCAACCCCACCTCCTCCTTAAGGCGGAAGTGGCTTTGCTCATGGTAAAGGACTGCAGGCTACTCCAGAAGTATTACCCTGCTGGGAACTGCTTGGAGCAATTGGCTGTCTCAGAGGGTGGAGCATTGCAAGATGACAATGCCGTCGTATCACAAACCCTTGATGAGCAGCATAGTTTCTGGAGCAAAGTTCCCAGACGAGCAGTCAGTCAGGGTCAAATCTGCTGGTTCAAGCTTTGGGATCCCTGACTCAGTGACTCGAGCAATTGCAGCGCTCCTCTGAGCTCTCCGGTGCGAGCACTGATCTCCTGAGTATGCAGGATTCATTGGGGGGAGGAGGAGTTGCCCCGGCCAAAGGGATGAGCTTGGGAATATTCTCTTGACTTGAACTGGCGAGCCTTTGCAAGTGAGGGAGCAGTATGTGCAGGTCAGAGGCACCCTCGCTTTCCAAGGAGTTTTCTCTTCCCATCGGCTCTTTCTGTAGTCTC